TCCTAAATTGCTCGTGCCCTTATCTGGAAGACGAGAACTGTCCTTATCGGCAAAATGAAGAAGCCTTCTAAGTCTCAAAACCATATCACAATGAAAAGGCAAAGCCGATCTCCTATCTAAATACGCTGGGCTAACAGTCATCCACGACAAAGCATGAAGCTCAGCTGCGATCGAAGCGAGAATTACGTGCGTCTCCGACTCGAAATCCTAGCTATGCTTATTACTGACACCTTTATACGCTAATAACTTTTCTTTGCTGAAGTTATTACCTCCGTAATAGTCAACTAAACTAACAGAAAGAATTGAAGGCCATTCTTCTTTTGAGTGGCTTTTACTGTCTTTCCTCATTGAAGGTACAGCTTTCGAAACGACGAAACCGGTAGAGAGGGGAATTGCCGAGCCTTTGCTGTGTAGAAGATGGGCTAAAGGAGGGGAATCTGCAGTGAGGCATGTGGGGAGTTGAAGAATCGAGGGGGGGAGGAAACGCATTCTTGGTGAAGGAATTAGAATGTAGGAGGCTGAAGTAGAGCCGAGGGATTTGACAGGTGTGTATCCTTCGAGATACACTGACTGACCAGATGTAGCACTACCTTGACTTGTCCCTGTAATAGAAGAAACAGCAAAAGCTTAGGAAACTGATAATAAAACCAAAAAAATAAGTATAAATTGTATATTCATGGGATGGCTATGAAAATGTACATTTCCAAAATGAATGCATTCTTCCAACGACAAAATTAATTGTATGTGTGTAAATAGATATGGCAGTTTGCTAGAAGGAAAATGATGAGCAGAGAACAGGGAAGAAAGATAAAAGAAGTTGCTGACAAGATTAGCAAATACGTAAATTTAAATGCCGGTGAAGATTCAATTATCAGTTTATGCTTTCTTTTTACCACATACAGGCTGAAAAGGATTCGTCTAGGACACTCCAAGTAGTTAAGTATAAGATGAGGAATCTTTTAAGTGGAACTGGTACGGTGGTACCAAAAACAGAAGTTTACTCAACTAAACGAGAGATTTTCTTATTTCTAACAAAGAAATTGGTTCATCTATTTAAGTTTTGCTATTTCAACCTGTTCTACTAATTTGACTATTCCCTTTTTACCATATTTTAATATTTTTGGAGTTTTTATAGTTTGTGAATAATCCATTTCTTAAAGTGGATTTCGATTGTAATCCGTCGGCTAGTTAAATCCATTTCTTATAAGAACTAATGCGAAGCATACTTCTTATTGTCCTTCATTTTTAATAGATTCTACGAGTAACAAGTGTTTTCTGTTGGACGAGTTCCTAGCCATACCTTTTTACTTCTCCATAACTTTTTTGGTGCCAGAAAAAGTCCGGGACAAAATTTAAGTTCTAACCACCAGTGTACATTCCAGTTTCAGCAAGCCAGACAAAAGTAATTTTAAATATGCACTTAAAAGCATGAGATCATGGCAGAAAAAGTAATACTACAAGTGAATCGATGTGTACCAGGGGATGTTGAGTCTGCTTGAAACACTAGTTGTAAGGAATGATCAATTGAGACTGAAACGAAACTGATGCTCTGCACCCACTGCAATAAGCCCTTGGAATTGTCGAGCACTGCATGCCCACCCATTATCTGCTTCCTTGAGGAAGGTTGTCCGATGCCACCTTTCATGAATGCAGAAGCCTTAGCATGAGTACTATACAATGGACTTGGTGAAGATCTCTCTTGCATTAAACTCATCTCCTGCTGCTGCAAAGAATTTCCATTGCTATTAGGAGGTATTCCATCAGGGAATGATCGACGAAGCTGCAGAGACCACTTCTTCACCTCCGGACCCCCAGCGGAATACAATGCTTTCTGCCACTCTGCAGAAACAATTTTTTTTAAATCATATTGATCTCACTCAAAAATCTCCACGGATTAATTACAAAGCAGCTGTAATAATAAAACTGTCCAGAGGCACCTCATTATCATGCCAAACTAATATATATAGAGGAAAAGGTTCAAAGTAGGATGAGAAAATGGAGGGCTAATGTAATACCCTGGCACTCGAGCTCAAAGAAGCAACCCACTCGTGCAATCACAAGATCTCTAGGCTTAGCAATACCAACATCAGGAGAACAAGCCTGGAGAATCTGGCATCCTTGTTGCAAAATTTGGATAAATAGGGACTGCAGACCCTTGGTGTCTTGCCGGCTACTGACTCCACCAAAGGGGTAAACATAACTGTCGAGCAACTCTCCCCTTGAATCTGTCCATACGCACACCATCCAACGCCAATCTTCTGTCCACCCATAACAACAATGCAGGCTCGGGAGTGCTTTTTGATGGCCAGTTCCAAAACCATCTGAATCCATGGGCTCATGCTGAGAAACAGGCCCATTATTATCTCCACTTCCTGAAGATGCAGAACTTTGCGCAAAGCTGGTACTTGCACAATCATCTGATAATAGCTTTGACGAATCACCTGAATTCCCCAAAAAGGGAGAAATTCCGCGCTCTAACGAACCGGGTTCAGCAAGAATGAAAAGTGGCTCAAACAAACAACGTATTTCATCCAGAGGAAAGGCATCTCCACTTCTGTTGGGATCGCATCCAAGCCCCCCACTCCTCGCTGACTGCCAGGAGTTATCCCAAGCACCTGGTCTCAAGCTTGCATCAAGTTCACTCTCTCTTTGAAGAGGAGGTCCCAAACTTCGAGGACCAACACAGTCCTTCCACATACCAGGAACAGGTGAAGCCATCTGCATCAAGGCTGAATGAGATCTTCCTGACACAGATGATGATTGTGTCATCTCGCCAGAAGCTCCTCGTAAAATACGTCGAGCTTTATTGTAAACAGTGAATGCAATTTCCTTCAGAATGATTAGCTCACTTAGTGTGGGACTAGTAACCCTAAAAACAGCATCAACTGTCACAATCTGCAAGACCAACTTTGGTATGCTGAATCCCGAAAGAGTCAAAACATTTGAAAATGACTCGTCTACAGCAGCTGGGTAACTCAGGGCTTTTGCAACTTGGTTGTGCATCATTGATCTCCTTTCTTTATCTGAAGACCGAATGACTGATCCAATAGCAATGGAAGATTCAACCACAGTCTTCAGAACTGCAAGAGGCTCTGGGAAGGGGCACACCACATAAACTACCTAAATTCCATAAACAGGAATGACGTTCAGCAGTTAGTTGAATGCAATGTCTGCGCTACGACATGAAAGTCAAATACCGGAAGAACGGAAGGGGCAAATGAATATTTCCAAATACAAAAAAAAAATTACAATTTGTACTACCAAAAGTTACAATGTATCTAATATTGTTCAACTGTTGCATGGAAGGTGAAGCATTTTAATATTTGCAATTTTTATGATGATCATGTTTTTGTACAATGTTCCTAGAATGACAAGAATGTAACAATTAGTGCACAACATCAATTGTACATTTTATAATATCACGTCTAGCACTGCAATATCAACTGCAAATTAGTCAACAGTACATGATAAAGATTCTTCGATTCGAATATCTATTTTACACACTTCAGTAACAAAAGGTAGATTTTGTATTCAAAAGATTTTCCTGTAGAATAAAATTAGGCAGTTGCATGATTTGTGAACATAAATCTTTAAGAAGAAAATCTTTCAATTATAATGAACAATATGCATGAAATTCACAACTTACAGTGCATGGCCCACCATTTCCATCCTTTGCATTTACAGTTGGAGATGAACCAAATTTTAAGCCTTTGAGAACCTTAGAAAGGGTCTTTAGATAGCTCGTCAGATCCCAGCCATTTGATAGACAAAGAAAATAATCACTGATTGATCCCAGCATAGATGCATTATTGGTATCTATCTTCATCGACTGAGGGCAATCGAGAAGGACAAAACCAGGAGAAATTTTCCCAGAATCAATCTCCATCTCATTTCCAAGACTTTGGGGTGCATGGGTTCCCAGCTTGCAGGTTTCATAAACTGGGAAAAGACCCGACAAACACATCAGTAGAAGATAACTTCCAAAGCTAGATTTACATAGATTTCTAAAACATTTAATATAATAATCTATTAATATAAGCAAGCTGATGTCAACACATTAAACTTAGAGTTAAACTGATACAATAACTTACTGCTGTTTTTTTTCTTTTCTTTTTTTTCTAATTTAGACCGCAAAAACCAAGGAAACAGAGTCCATCAAGTCAGGTTTAAGCTTCACGTAAGTTATTTTTGTAACAAAATTTTAACAAAAATCTTTAAAACTATTTTAATAAATATCTGAACCAATCATTTGAGTAAAAGCCTATACACCAGCTCAAAGAAAAGCCCTCTAAATACAGAAGCCAACTACGACATGAAGATGAGAAAGGTGAGTTTCATTCCCAACTCCAAATATACTGACTCAGTTCAGTACAAGCATAGAGGAAATCAGTATTGAGGATGGCAGACAGAAAGAACTACATGAATTACAGAATCTGCCTTGGAACTGAACAAAATTATGAAATGATGACATCATATCGCAATGGGATATTAGATACTGTCAAGACTATATATAAATCAACATTAGCAAAAAAGAATCTCATATGTGACGTAAGGATCGTGGAAAATCATTACAACATTCAAAGAAATAACAAAATTAAAATACCCGGATATAATAATATAAATCAACGACACTAACCAGTTCCAAGTTGCAGGAAAAAATCAGATGCAGCCTTGGTAAGTGGATCAATATTTGGACAGACAACGTAGTAGCTCATCTACCAGAAAAATAAAGAAAGACGTAAATTAGTCATAGTATCATAATAGAAGTGGAAAACATTAAACAGTTCCCAGGCCTTCATAACAGTGAGAAGACAAGAAAGAAACTTGCCAGCATAAAAGCAGATCAGACAGTTCAACGAATCTTACATGTTTTGCAGTTGCATATGGTTCAAGAGGGGCCTTTTCCCAGACTTGTAAGGAACTAGCTGAGGTTTTGAGCCAATCATCTTGGTACCTATTGCATAAAATTACTTGAAAATTTTGCACCATAAAATTGAAGGCAGACACCGTATTCCAAGGCTGTAGATCCAGTGAAATATGAAAGAAATATATGAACTTACTAGCTTAACTTATAGCTAAAACCTAGAAAGGGTACACATCTACAATCAAGAAAAGGAGTGGAAATCCATAAGAATATGAACATCGTATAGAAGTTATTATATTACAGACCGTCGCGAGGTATACGTAAAATCTTTGATCTACAATACACATTTCCGACTATAGCACCTATCCAATCAAGTCATGATGGGAACGCTAGACAATATTTGGCTCGTGTTTTGTAAAATTTACTCGTCAATCAAGACACTCAAGACAAGATTTCTTGCTTATGCCAATTTCCAGAAAGCTAAAACCCTAAATATGTTAGCATGATGCACATAAATTGTGTCCTAATGCTAGTTCCACCTCATAACCTTGTCTTATGTATATCAACCTCAAAGATCAGTATAAGAAATATCTGTTTTTTCATATTGTAGACTTAAGTATGAACGATGCCGTTCTCCACCATTATATTCAGTTACGTAAAATTTATGATGTATTCAAAGAAGCAAAGAGGATTTATTAAGATTGCCACAAATGTACAAGATAAACATGCATACCCAACAAGTATGGAAGGAAACGGAACAACAGAGAGCGTAGGCAGAATCCGTAAGAATTGTTGATGATCCAACTCTGATAGAGAAGCACCTGCCTCGTCCCCTCTGATCCCATCAGCTGTAATGAAAATTGCATTATTACCCAACAGGTAATATTAGGTCAATAAAGCATTGGAGCTATAAGCATGATCGTACCTTTGAGGCTAGACGATCCACCAACAGAAGTCAGAGATGGGCTCATGGGGTCTCCAACTGATAGAGTTACAGTGCTCGAAGTTTCGCGACATTCATTTGCACTAGCAATAGACTCTGCAGAAAGTCCATCACAACCTGATTCACTGGATGGGCTACGGCCCCTACACCAATCGGTAACGGATAGAGGACCATCTACAGTGCTAAATGCAGATTTTAGGGCTGCTTTTATGTCTGACTGGAGTAAACTAATAGTTAATGATGCCTGAACCTGAAAATGATAATATATATTCGTAAGAATCATTTATAGTCTTAGAAACTGCCATGGCGTTCTAACATAGCACATATACAGAAGTTGTACTATATTAGTCATCATGCCAAACTTTAATTCTTGCACCAAGAAAACAAAGATAATTCTATGACAAATGCACATCTTTACACTCAGCCATAACAAGCTAACAAATCCAAATGTACTCAAAACATAAGTAGAAAACAGATATATCCCATCTCCACCAAAACAGAAGTCTCATCAGCTGAAACTTTAATGTGTTGGTACAACTGAAGTAGACGAGATGTCAAGATCATCTCCATCCATTTTATACATTATGCCTCAACCAAAATCATATAAAAGATTGGTTGCCCTCATCAGCAACCTAATATTTCCCCATGACAAAGAATATTTACTTAGCAACACAATGAAAAGCAGAATTCTGGTAAATAATGAGAATAGTTGATAAAGTTGACGGGAACATCTGGGGGATTCAAAATTAGTTCAGAACTCCATGCACCCGACAATAAATATGTAAACACACACACACACACACACACACACACACACACACACACACGGAGTAAGAAATACACAAAGTAATTAAGAGGGGATTCAGCAAAGAGAATAGTAAAGGAAAAGGGGCAAGCAGAAAAGAAAATTCAGTCTCTTTTATTCAACGAAAAACAGCTAGGAAGCAAAATAAACTCTATTATAAAGGAATCTCACTTCAACTGAGAGCGGATCAACAAGCTCCATGCCAGCAATATCGAGGGAATGAGAAGAAGCCAAAAGTCCCCCACAACCAGCATGTACCATAGAAGGTCCACAGGAAAATCCGCGTCTCCACTGCTCTTGAAGTGCGAGCCAACCATAAGGGCCATCACCACAATCAGCATCCAGAGCCACATCAACAAATGAAGTAGCTTGCTGGACAAGTAACGCGATGCCGTCAAGAAGTTCCTGAAGTGGTTGTCGTAGTCCATAGGAAAGCATGCTTTCTTCAATGAATGAATTGTGTGGTATAGATGGGCAGATTTCCATACTTGTGCTTGATTTAGCAACTTTAGGAATTCCAACAGATCGCCAGACACCAACAGGTGCGGTCAAAGGGCCATCTAGTATTCCTCCATCAATATCACCAGCTATCCTAACCGGAATAATTTCTTTCTTCTTCAACTCAGATTTGCTTGAAATATTGTCCGTCATGGTACTTGAATCAACATTGGCCTGATTTGGAGTGCTACTTTCAGACAATCCACTCATTCCAGTAGGTGACTGATTGCTAGAAGACAACAATGTATGTCGTAGCCTACACATGGAAGCCTGGCACATAAGGCATTCAATCTCTGTTGCAAGGACAGTCCTTGAAGATGGAATATTATCTTCTCCCAGTGAGCCTTCACTTGCTTTAGTCGAGACAGCCTTGACATTTGTTTGACTAACAACAGAAAATTGTGATGATGCCACTCCAAGCTCACCTTTAGAAAATCTGTTGCTACTTCCACCAATTTGCTGTTTTCCTCTTTCAACATGTGTATAATATTTCATTGATTTTAAAACAGAAGTCGAGTCTTTTTCTGCACATGTTTTCATACTGGCGGACAAGATGGACTTCTCATCAAATCCATCAAAGCAAGGGGAAGACGGTGGTGTTGCAGAATATACATAATTGTTCGAGCTTGAAGCAGAATCCACTTTGCAGGATTTTGGTATATACGGACTTCGGAAAATCACGAAGGAGATCTCGCTCTTGGAGGTTTCCACGCCTCCATATTCTGGAGCAAATGTCATCAGTGCTTCAGCCTTTACAACATGATCAAATTCTCCACTAAAAGATGACAGCACAGAGGACACTTGACCAGAAGTAGAAATCATTGTGGCCTCTTGATTTTTGTTTGCTATATCTTCCAGCGGGGCAGAAATTTGTAGATTGTTATCAAAATTTTGAAAACCAACAGGCAAAAGCATCTGATCTGACACATCCATCAGAGAGTTGCTGGGGCTGCTACACAATTCTCCACCCTCAGGTGCAGGAAACATTGGAGCTTGAGACTCAACATTGCCTGGAGGCTTCATCATAGAACAAGGAGTAAACGGTTTTCAATGAATATTGTTTAGAGTAGTTAGAAAATTAAAAGAAAAAATAATAAGCCAATGCAATTAGTGGATAAGATCACGTGCAGCTACATACCCAAATATGATGTTTATGACAGCGAAACATAAGTACAATATTATATAAGTGTCCACCAATGTAGAGCAAACAAATTTTCACTTAAATTTAATAAAATAAGGACCTATTAGTAGCCCGGAAAGGTTAGCTAATTATTCCAGCCAAATTTAAAATAATAATGACAGTTTGTGCCTTGTGGACATATTAGACTTGCCAATAGTAGCTCAACAAAAAACAAAGACAGCAATAACGGCCTAGAATGTGCAAGTGTTCAACAACAAGTTATCATTCTTCCTCAGCCATTTTGACTCTTTGCGTTCATATATCTATTTTCATTCTACAGTCTGCAAATCTTCTCTCTAAAGACCACAACTCACGGCCACCAATTAGTAGTTTGGGATTTGTCTATCTATCTTAATATTACGCAGCCATATTAAAAAAATAACTAAATTACTATATTATTTAAAATAAAGACCTTTCATGAGGACATCAGTGCTAATAAATTTAAAGTTTATCACAGGAAGAGATTTAAGAAGCAGCACACTTCATTCCTTTCTTTATGGTTAATTTCTTAGGCATTGAAAGGTCATTTTCTCAACTAAAAATATATGTAAGTGTCATTAGGCCAGTTAATGAAGTTTATGAATAAAATTCAGTTTGTAGTGAAAAGAAATCTGAGTCTTCTTCCAGTGAAAGGAACTTAGGTGTGAGGGCCCTGGAGCGAGTCGAGATTTATTTTTTAAAAAGTTATTCTATATCTTCACCCTTCCAGCCTTTTATGATCACCATATATACACAACCCTGTAGAAAGTACTACACTCCCATTAGAGTTGAATCAACCCTAAAATGAAGGAACTGACAACATGAATTTTGCATATACTCATCCGGTTAATAGGTCAATAGGCATTAGTCCATTTGCGGTAGTCTATGGTCACAAACCTAGGGCTCCCACAGATTTCATACCAATGTCAGTTTCTTATCGGCCATTTGCACTCTTTTGGTTTCATTGCTGAATTATTTTTACCATCGAAATTCACTTAATTGGTATGGTGCTGCATCAACCTTGATGCTTTCAAGCATAAATGCATCTTTTGACAACATTCGTGGCCATTTTGAATTTTAGCCAGGGAAAGGCACGACAATAAAAAAAATTAAATTTGAACAGCTATAGAACTAATGGTGAAAGAGCAGTAAATCATGTTATGGTAATAAGGGGATGGGAGCTAATGATTACCTCGCCCAAAGGCAATACATCACTCTCAAAGAAGTCACCAAAATCACCAAACTCTGATAGTAGCGCCTGAATATCCACTCCCATGCCTCTTTCGTCGTCGTCCCAATCCCATTCAGATCCAATTTGTTCATTTGCAACCCCAGTGATGGACACATTGTTGACTTCCATGGCACCATAATCAGTCATAGAAGGATTTAAAACCATACCCGCTTGACCAAATGACTCTGATGTCCCAGATCGCGGCCTTTTAGAACCCTGAGCAGGAAATAATAATGAGTAATCCAATCTTCACATTTCAAATTCAAATCAACACGCGAAAGAAGTGAAATTTATTATTCCAACAGAGGAAGAAAGAATGGAATGCAGGTCATATGTGCCATATGCAACCCCGGTTGGATGTCTGCTTAATGCTATAATGTGTACTCGTAGAGATTTGTGTTTGGTGTTAGATTAAGGTACTAAGAAATACGATTTTCTTCTTTTCCAAAAGGGAATAAGGGACTATATTTTACTTACACCGAATACAATCACCACAGGAACTAGTGCCTAAAGATGACAGATTTCTCAAAACGATAAATATTGAGAAGCATACAACGAAATCATTTATGTACACAAAAGGCAAGGTTAAAGCATCACATACACCAATATTGAGAAGGAAAAAGTAAATAAGTTCACCATGCATATGTACTAACATAAATTTCGTGAGTAAAAATAACAAACATTCTTACACTTTTCTAGTCCTCAAAACTTCAGAAAAGAGAAGAAAATTACCGACTGGAGGCCATCATTCTGCATTTGACCCAACGAAGATAAACCAGATTGTCTGGACATTATAGAATCTGCATCTGCGTCAAGATCACTAGCTCCCAAGGTCTTGCGATCACTGTCACTGGAAGAACTACTTATGCTGCAGTTGCTACTACTGTTACTGTTACTACTGCTACGATAGCCATGCAGAGAGCGAGCTCCACTTGGTGATGATCCAACCCTTGAATCTAGCTTGTCATCGCTGTCAAAATCAAAGCTAAGTGAAAGCAAAAACTCAGCAGTGAATCTAAAAGAGAACGTATACAAATTATAAACAAATGAAACTTTTGGCCTAACCAGTGCATAATAGGTGACGAGCCCGATAATGACGGCCCAACCCAATTTTGCAGCCAAAACCTACACAGTAGATAGATCTTTTAGTTGACTGTGCATACAACTAAGGATCAATTTATAATAAACATATCATACAGCCCATTTACAGTGGATAACATCTTCAGATACTGTCAATGACTTTAGTACTTTGCAGTACTACATTTACTTAATACACAATAATTGCTACTATTTCCATTTTGATTTTCTTTGTTTCGGAATAAAGTGAATGTCCGGACAAATGGCCATCTTGTTAATCCCACGAAACCAATCAAGCCTTATAACGAGATTAAGTACCAACGGAATTCCCATGTTAGCATAAAGCGGGACTGAAGGGAAGGAAAATCAAGAGAGGTCGGCAAAAATATGCTAAACGGGAAGGATGAGAGGGACAGAACAAGTAAATAAATGAGTGTCATAGCTCCTAACACCACTCTTGTATCTCAGACAGTTGATGCCATGGATTGATTCCAAAACAGCAAATCAACCTGAACACAGTATGAAAGTAAGCTATACATCCTACAAGTTCTCTTTTAACTCGCTTCACACTCTCAGAACCCCCACGGGGTAGAGTCAGTTCTCTCTCCCCATTCTACATGAAACATACTTTATGCGTTTTGGATTCTTCCAATACTGAAGGCACTCATGAAGATAATACTATTATGCAAGTTCAACGAGATCTATCCAGCTGCTAGCACAAAAAAAAAATTCCAGGCAATAACAAAAGTTAATGCTACCGGATTTTGCTATACATTGATTTTGTCCTACCTCTTCAGAGAAGATCTAGCAAAAGATGTCTGCATAACTGGAACAAGGACAGCTTCAGCTGGATAAACAAACATTTTTTCACAAAATGGGAGCTTTTCTGGAGGCCACCTTTGAGTACCTAGTCCGACAGGTGGGGGCTCAGTGCCATGAGTCTGAGGCAAGTTACTACGCGAGTAAACATTATTGCGGCCCATCTTGTCCTGGCAACCAATGGTCACTTCAACATAGCAGTTCTGTCCCCTCATTTGAGCTGGTAGGACGGACCCTTGAGCAGCATGGTGGGGAAGACCTATAATTCCATTTGAACCTCTAAACTTTGCAGAGCTGTCCAAATACAAATGAAGGACAAATAAACAACAAAACAAACCAGCAAAATGAAAGAGATATGTAAATACAACTAATCGAATAAGTCTGAATACAATATCTAAGAGAAGTTAACCTGTCAATGGACGGGATAATAAATGAAGCAAATAGACATTAGAAATGAGAATGATGGACATGGAGAATGCTAGTTGAAGGGTAGTTCATCAAACCTCATATACACTTGTTTCACAAGATCGCCAGGACAACATCCTGTGAGCTTTCCACGCATTCCATGAGGGGAAGCAATAACTGCAAAAACGAGCATCGTTAGTATGTAGGCTTGAGTAGATCATTTCAAGATGCTATGTCATAGCTTGATATATCTAAAAGAGGCATACAGAACCAACAGATCAGCCTCCCTGGACATAATAGCTCAGATTCTTCAAAGTTCATTATTATGTTTTTATTCTTCTTTTCTTTTCCCAGGAGAATAGTAAATGAAAAGAAATGTAGACAGAGACACCAAAAGATAGTTTAGGGAAAGTAATAGAAAATAAACGTAAAAACTTTACACATGTCAAGGACAACAGGTGTAGAACTGAAGCTTTCCTGAAAGAAGTTTCGTAGATGAGGGTAAAAAATCTATATTTTAAAATTGATGAACAAAAGAATTGATAGACAAAGAGGAATCTATAGGTTAGTAGAAGTACTGGAAGAAACGGCGAAAATTCATGTATCAAGGGGAATAAGAGTGAAACTGAGGATTCCTCAGTAAAAAGAGATGGTAGGTAGAGATATCTGTTGAAACTGGTGAAGATGATAAAAACAAGTGAAAATGCACAGAACATCAACTAACCTCATCCGGGGACAAATTCAAAATAACATACATATATGCACGCCAACTTTGTATTTGTATACAGTAGACACGCTAGCCCATGGAACATATTTCAATATAAATGAACTATAAGGCAACTCGATCGTCAAATTTTGACTATAAAAACTCAATCATGCAGCTGTAGCATAAGAATAATGAATCAAATGTGTCAGATAAGTGTCTAAATTATTTATTTTGTGTACTCATCTTTTACAATTATTAAAGAAGCCGAGCATTGTCTTCATGCAGCATCAGAGAACAAATGTAGGATAACACACATTTGAAGAATTTGATAGCACAGAATTCTAGCATCATAGCACGGAACTCAACGCAACTTTCTATTTAAACACTACCAATTCATACACAAGATGGACGAAAGCATCTCTCATGCAAGTATCATATAACCATAAAAGCACATCATTGTACCGAAAAGCATACCTGAAATACGGTCATTGGAACGCCTAGAAGAACTGCTGAGGAATGGTCCTATATCACCACTGGATAGCGCCCGGACATGCCTAAAAGTGAGCAAAAACAATCATGTTTCAAGATTTAAACGGCATTAAGTGGGGTTGACTACATATCCTTGAAAAGATAAACATGGAATATTGTTCCAAATCTAATAAATAGTACACAGAGAATAGAAAGTTTGAGAGTAGGGGAGAAAGACTAACTTAGCGGATATAATAACATGAACAAATATTGCCTCTTCCGAAGCGGCAAAGATAAACTCAGCAACAGGTTGACCCCTCCTACAAAGCAGCAATAAAACTTCTTAAGAAAGGATAACATTAAAAGTGTCTAAGAACTTCTCTAACTGACGTGCTTACAACCATAACAGGAATTCCATACCAAGAGCAATTGATTGTACAGAATACATGGAAATCAGATATTTCAGAAACCAGTTGAAGGTGAGTCTACCCTTAACGGTCTTGGTTACATATGCAACTCGCAAAGGGGAGAGAGCTTGCTCAAGATTCATTTCATATTTTACGTTATTCTCAAGCATAAATTTTCTTTTTCTGGAAAATTCTCACAGTACCCTAGGTCTATTACTCAAACAATAAACACAAATCTCAAAATACATAACTAGCATCCGACAGGTATAGCCATGGAAAGTTGATTGTTTTCAGCAACTCAAACTCATTTAACCAGGCAGCATTTCCAAGTTTTACACTACATGGCCAATGAGAAAGCTCGCAAGCTTCAAAAGTTTTGGAAGGGAAAACTTTTAATAAATGAGCAGACTGGCCATATCACTCAAGAGTAGCTGGAATATTCCAGGAGAGTTAATAATATTAGACCCAACCTTTTTCTGTCCTTTGCCCCAACATAACTTAAGACCTCTTGCATATGGATCTTTTGAACATATAATTAATGAACATCAAAATAAGACGCTGTTAGGCTAAACTTATTTCAAACATCAGACAAGTTCTTATATCCGATAACTTGTTACGTCTAATTTTCAAATTTAAAGTGTTTGGATGATGAGCTTCTAAATTATTTTTTTTCGAAGATGAGGTGTAGAGATTTTTTTAAACAAGATATTATAAGTTTTCCAACAGCTTATTTTTTAATTTTTAAGATCCTTCAAAAAAAAACTACCAAACACTTTTGAAGAGATTGTAAGCTCTTAAACATCTTATACGCTGTTTTTAACAGCTTATAAGCTTAGCCAAAAACCCTCCTAAGTATAGCATTGGTTCACAGATTCATTCTAAGACAACACGATACGATTAATGGAAATACCACTTCACAAGGTTGTGACTAACTATTATCCAGCAAAATGGTTTTCCAATGATGTCTGATTTGCATGTCAAGTAAAGTAAGAAAACCCCAAAACTATCACATAGAAGTCTTATGATACTGAAAACCATGTCCTATTCGAACAACAATTCCAACATTCAGACACATTGATCCCAAGACAGACATTAATACCAATAGCAAACCTGAAGAGTTCTTCGTTTTGTGTAAATGGATGATATTTTGAAAACACATCTCCAAACCGTACATATGAGAGCCCTCTAAGAGCTCTGTCAAATAAGACAAAAACATTGTTAGTTAATGATCACGAGTATAAACTAATCACAAAATATACATGGTATAACCTTTCTATACAGTTTCTTAGAGCCTGGGACAGGGCAGCTGCAACTTCTTCTGAATCACCAGGAGACACCCAAAGGCCACATGCGAGAACTTATGTGGCGAATAATAGAAGTTCATTTAGTATGAAAACATAATCAACTTCATATAAAAGCTCTACTAAAAAAACAACATACCTCTCAATTTAGCAACGGCAGGCTGTGCTTTCTCAATGACAGAGGAGTGTTGTCCCGGGATAAAAAGCCAGAGCTTGATCTTTTCATCTGTCAAATTACGAGCAGGCAACAGTTAAAAGCACATGGTTGCTATATCTGCTCCAAAGTGTCATTTATAAACTTACCAGGATTGTGCAAACCCTGTGAAGGATCCCAGGGTCCAACAAAAGAATTAGTCCATGTACTGAGAAGCCCTTCCTTCTGCAGTTGCAGATGTGCTGAGAGCACCACTGAAGTTGCTGCATCTTTTTGATCCACTTTTGAACTTTGAAAATATCAAATAAAAAGGAGTTAAAACTGATCTAGGACCCAACACATACGGCCAACCTGATTGCCCGGAAAGGTATGTGAAAATTATATATTTAACAAGAATCAAATCTGGAAACTGTAAGATATCGAGGATCTGAATCATATAAATAAAAGAAATAAATCGTCAATGTGGGATTTATAACCCTAAGCATAAGATTTAATGTCCATAGTCCTCTATTCATCATTTAGGTGTTCCTTATTCAACTAAAAGGCCAATTACTAAAAGCTACATGGTTCCTTACGAAATTTAAAACAACTAAATGGTCTGACAGACCGATGTAATTAATCGAGTAAATCTATTTAACAAACTAATGATTCAAGACCATACCTCTTATCAGACAGAGCGTTGAAATCAAATTCATTGGGAAGAAACTGAAACCATGATATCTGATGCAAACCACCCTGGAAAAAGTTAAAATATATTATTAGTATATTGCAATATATCAAGAACCAAAAATGCCAATACCAGAAACATCTCCACCATAGAATACCATATAAAGCAATATCCTCAAAATTAAAATAAAAACTAATTCGCAATGTTTTATAAATTCTTCAGCTACTAAATTAGATTGCTTGGAATAAATGATTACTGTATTCCATGCCTGCAGCAAAGTTCCCCGTACATTGGATAACTAGCCAAAAACAAGTAGCTAGTTTTCTGGGCTGATGAGAGCAAATATCATCAAATTTTCCGGTATTCAAGCCCTTCCCGGAGCATACACATATTAGGCAACGATTTATGTTAGAGTTTCAAACAATTCATGATACTACACTAATATATGGCAGGAGCTGAATGTCTGGGCTGAATAGTGGCATATTTTATGAGTAATGTCTTATCGCTTTATATAAATTCTAGAAAACTGAAAAAAGTTGCCCAAAGCATCCATTTTGCAAATGAAAACGCGTATATCAATATTCCTACAGATAAGTGGTCCTTCTAATTTCGAACATGGGTGGAACCAACTTGTCAAATCCGATAAATTTATACAGATACATTGGTGTATGTTGGCTACATAGTGCATGGATCTAGATATGTCATGTAATCATCACAGAAGGCATTGAATTGGTGTGTCTAGTGATGGTAACAAACTTTCACCAAATGTGTAGATTCATAGAGAGAAAAGTAATGATTTTTCTCATCAAAAATCGGAGAGGTGTTAGCATGTTGCATGGCTCAAAGATAAAAACTGAAAGTCAGGCAAGCCACATAATAAGTCCAAAATACATACTTGTGAGAATTGGGCATTAAATATACAACAGCAGCAAATGTAATGCGAACAACAGAAAGTGTGAAATTAATATAACTAAGAAGGAAAACATAGTAAGATTAATACTGCATAATCAATCCAAAAAAAAGTATAAGAGAAAATTATCAATTTCAACTAATTCTGCACTAAATATAAAATGGAAGATCTTACGATTTTAAAAATATTCGTCCACATCCGTGATTAGCCTCTCGCTCGCACAAAAACTCTTCAACATCCACCCACGGTTCGCCGGAACGCCGCTATAACGGCCGGAACGGAGTTAGTGGAACCGGAACGGAGGCCACCGCGACAAAGTTCCAGCATTTAGCGGCTGGCGTGTTCGAAAATCTAAAAAGCGGCGATTTATCCGCCGGAACGGCAATTTACGCCGCGTTCGCTCACCGCGGTGGCGATTAATCGGACGGAACGGACTAGAATTGGGGTCGAACGGCTTCCGGGCGGTGTGAGTGTGTTCTTCGTAAGCGTCGGAAATGGGTTAGGGTTGGTGATGCCGACTACTGAATAGAGGAGGGGCCGTGTTTTGTTTAAGATTTCTAAAATTGCACTAAGGTCCAACAATTTTGTATTAGTTCTGATTTGGGGAGGGTCAATTGCAAGAATACAAATCTGATTCGGGTCACTTAAGTTTTCTAAAGTTTCAACTTAGTCCCCAAATTTTATGGTCTCTATTAAAATAAGGTGATTTCAGAACTTACATTTTAACCCCTATATTGGAATTTTCTGCATTTTCATACCCTTTTTCTAATTTAAAGGTTTTAAGGGGATTGTTGTAATATTGATATAATATTATTTTTGATTGTAATATTATTTTGTAAATTATTGTATTACAATTTCAATATTAGTAACTTATTATAATCTTAAATTTTTTTTTTCATTTTAATTAAAGGGTCTTAAGATATGGGCCCATTGTCACAAAACTTATTAGAATTAAATTACAAATTCAACTAAACATTTGTTTCACATTCTTTATAAATTTCGTTCCAAAAATGAAATATGCACAAAGTAATATTCAAATTTTATTTATCATTTTTTTATTATGCATTTACATTTTTATTTTTGCATCTAATATTTTTTTGGTACGTAGAACACAATCTTTTTCTCTTTTTTCATTTAGTATTTTTCAGTATTATAAAAATCTATTTTTCCTTTATTTCTACATAATATTGAAAAATTGTGAAAAAAAAATTCCAGCGGTAGTCACCTAGGCACCTGAAGAAACCCGTAGTAATCGTAGTAACCCATAGTCATTTGTACTGTCGTAGTTACCTATAGACAACCGTAGAAAACCGCATTAATCGTAGTAACCCGTAGTCATTTGTACTGCACAATTCGAAAATCCTAACATCCTCTTTGAACACTAGCCGCAAGCCAGCATAGACAACCATAGACACCCACAGAATCCATAGTCATCCAAAAATAAAACCTTATATCTACAACCACCGTCGCCATAGCCGCCAAAATAAAAATCTAGATCTACTAAACCGTCACCATAGTTGCCACCACCTCTATATCCATCGCCTCCCGACCCTTTCGTATCTCCGATAACCACCCCACATCGTAATTGCGGCCACCATCGGCCTTAACCGTCTCCATAACTACCTCCATCATACCCACGGCCTCCATAGCCGTCGTCACTCGCCATAGCTGCATCCATAACAATCCCATCATATGCACAACCTCCATAGTCGTCGTCATTCACCATGAGCCTCCATGACAAACCCCATGTTACCCGTCGGCTCCATAGCCGTCTCCATAACCACCACCGATGGCACCATAGCCACCCACCATAACTGAGAGCAAAAGAGATAGAAAGGGAGAGAGATAGAGATAGAGAAAGAGAAAGAGCAACAGATCGTGAGAGACATGTAGAGAAAATGATAAAAAGAGAGAAATGGAGAGACTAAAAGAAAAGAAATAGATCTGGATTGAATAGACGAAAATAAAAGTTATATTTAAGGTATAAAAGCAAGTTAGGGACAAAAAAAAATTAGGGATGTGAGACATATTATATTTTGAAATAGGGATTTATTTAAAATATTAATTTGGGGTTGTCATTTAGTTGTAATTAAGTTTGCTACGAGGGACCGTACATATTAACCCCTTTAATTAAAAGTGTCCATTTGGGCTCTAAATCCCCACGACGTATTTTATATGGAATGATGGTCTCGGCAACAGTATCTGCGAGCATTTTATATACATTAAGATTTCCGAAAATATGTACAAAATGCAGAAACTTGTAATAGGATTGAAGATATAAATATTTTAATTATAAGTCTGTACCAATTAGCATAGTTTTATAACTTCAACATTTTATATGAATTTTAGAACTTCAACATTTTATATGAATTTTAGGAATATGTTTTTTGAAATTTGTAAGCATTATTTTATGAATGGGCGAAGAAGGTATCGTGGTGGCCCTCGAGAAGATAATGATCAAACTTATTTCTCGATGAAAATAGGTTGTTGGTGGTAGGTTGCAAGTCAAAGAAAATTCATTTATGAATGGGCGAGCCACTCTAGAGTCCAGAGAAGAAATCCTAAGGGATTGGCGCATAGAAATAAAAGATCAGCACATGCGATATATGAAGGGTTTACGAAGGCGCACGGGCTCAGACAAATGTAGGACATGCATATGGCGAAATATTTGAGTTTGGATAGTGACAAACTTTACAAAAGGGGATACACGAAACCCCACTTAAGATGTGTAAGCAGACATGAGGGTCAATATGTGCTACGCGAAATCCATGAAGGATGATGCGGAGATCATGCAGGGGGAGGACGTTAATTGCAAGTGTATTAAGAGTTGGATACTTTTGGCCTACGCTAAGAAAGGACGCCTGCAGTTCGTAAAATGCATGCGACAAATGTCAAAACACGGTCCACTAATCCACGTCCCAGGAGAGGATATAACGTTATCACATCTCCCTGCCCATTTACACAATAGGGAATCGATATTGTGGAACCAATGCCACTCGCCGCAGGGCGGAGAAAGTTCATTATAGTCGTGGTGGACTATTTTTACCAAATGGATAAAGGCAGTAGAAATTACAAGAATAACATTCCGATCCCCGAAGTAATGATTCATGCGTTAAATATTTGTTGTCGATGCGGTCTGCCCCAAAACCTCGTCTCAGACAATGGAACGCAATTCAACTCGACAAAGATGCATAATTGGTATACATGATTGGAAATTAAGCAGAGGTTTGGGGTAGTGAAGCCCGACTAAAGATAGAAGTTAGTAAAGCTATAGTTAAAGGTGCATATACGATATGAAAGTAAGAGCGAGAATATTTCAAGTGGTGGACTTGGTTTTAAGGCAGGTCGACACACTAAAACCAACATGGAAGTTGGTGGGAAAATGGGAAGGACCTTACAATCTCGTGAAGGTGCTCGCAGGAGTAGCCTACATGCTAAACGAAATGGAAGGCATACTGATAGCTCGGCGCTTCCAACTTCTACCATTTGTAGAAATATTTTGTATAAATTAAGCAGGGCATGTCCGTTATTGCCATTTTATTTTCAACGCCCGTCGAGAAGATAATATTTTTTCCCGTAACAATGCAATATAGAAGGGCCTTTTTTAAATCAAGTGTTTAGCACGAGCCAAATAGAGCAAAACAAACTTACAATAAACCAAGATAAAACTCATTCTAAAGTAAAGAGCACGAGCCCACCGAAATTGCGATAAAATTGGCGATAGATCTCAATTTATTCTAAAGTAACGAGCCGTCGAACATGAGATATCGATCTCAATTTATTCTATCAAGCACGAGCTCACCAAAATTGCAATAAAATTGATGATAGATTTTAATTTATTCTGAAGTAACGAGAACGAGCTCACCGAAAATTCAATAAAATTGATGATGAATCTCAATTTATTCTACCGAGCACGAGCTCACCAAAATTGCAATAAAATTGAGGATATATCACAATTTATTCTGTCGAGCACAAGCTCAACGAAATCACAATAAAATTGATGGTATTCTATCGAGCACGAGCTCATCGAAAGTGCAACATATTTGATGAAAATTTTCAAAATAGAGCGAGACAAGCTCAAGATAAAAAACACTGAGAACGACTTCGCCAAAATAAAAACAAATTGGTGGAAATATCTCAAACTCATTACAACAAAAATGACTTAGAAAAATAGAAAGAAAAGCAAGAAATTAGCACGAATTCAACAACACTAACAAATGGATCTCCACTTACTCCACCGATCTCGATGGAACAAAAGAAAGTCCAAGTGTTAAAAAATAATAGCAACGAGCTCACTGAGATCGAGGTAATCATGGCTCTCGATACACAAACATGCATATACCACGATTGAAGTAGTTCGGACCAATCGGAGCGGGTGCTATGGCAAAGTGTGCCGAGGAGGAGTACTTCACTATCAATTTCTCGCAATGCTCCTTCCAAAAATTATGCACATCCATGGAGCACAAATTATCATAGAGTGGCTTTAGACGCTCCAACGCAATAGCTTGCAACCACTCCGCGTCAATAACTCGATGTTTCTCTCGCGCATTCTCCCGAATTTGCTCTTTCTCCGATTGCAAACTACTCAACCTACTTTCCAGCGAGGATTTTATCTCGTTGTATTTATCACCCCCCAAGGCGAACTTTCTCTTCTGTAGCAGCCTTCTCTTGGGTAAGCTCGCTAACCATGTCCTGAAGTCTGAAGATGGTCCACTTCATTGGCCTTCTTGGTGGCAATTCCTCTTAAGGCGAGCATGTTTCTCGTTTTTGCGAGCCGGGTTTTCAACTCAGAAGCCATGCGCAAGAGGACGTTGATCTAAAAGATAAGAGTAAAAGAAAATCATACAAAGTATGAAAATAAAACAATGAACCAATGTGAATCCATGCAAGGTAAGAACACACACATTGTTGCTTCTAAACTGCAAATATGAACTGCCAAAGAAAAATACTGACCAAGATGTAAAAGTGCTAACTTCGGCATAAGTCCGAACTTTGTTTTTCTTATTTCGCAGATAGAAGCCCAACAAATACCAACCCAAGACCATATCAAAGATTTAACCTGATCAATTTCATTCGTTATAATATTGAAATTAAAGTCTATACTTATTTTAATATTTTAATTTGGAAAAATAAATAAATCTTTTTATTATTTTATTGCTAGATTTATTTTTGATAAAATAATTATTTTTGATCTGTAAGTAACATTTCAGTGACTGTTGTTTCAGTCTTATTTAACACTGATTATAGACGGACAAGAAAATTTATAGATTACTTACATGATATTCGGTGCGTTACATACGATGTCATGGTATTCAGTGTGCTATATACGACTAAGTATTTTTGTTTCTTTTCCTCCTCATCGTTCATCTCACTTGAGAATTTCTACTAATTCATCAAATCTAGTGGTGAATGTGTCAGACAATTTTCGATTGATATGACCTTTATTTTGCACCGTTTTGGGAGTGTCCTGAATACTTTGTTGACTAGTGTTTCATTGCTCAATGGACCTCCGAGAGTTAGAAAGTCATGTGCCAAATCAATGATGTTCTCATTGTATTGAGAAATGGTTTCCTTCCCGTCCATTCTCATGCGTTCAAAGTTGGAATATCAATCTAAGTTTTATTCTCCTCGCATTTTTAAAACCTTCACAATACATTTGAAGGACTCCCAACCGAAATGAGTTTGAACAGTGTGGTGTCTGCGAAGTTAAACATGACATTTTAAAGTTCATATTAAACATGACATTTGAAGGACATCCCAACCGAAATGAGTTTGAACAGTGTTGTGGATTATGTTCATATTAAAGTGGATTACGTTAATTCTACAGTGAATTTTCCTGTAATTATACAGTGGTTTTCGATAAATTTTTAGTAGTTTTCGATGAGTATATAGTGAATTTTAATTTTCGTAACCCTGGTGGAAAAAAAAAATTGAAATAAAAAAGACAAAAAATTAAAATAAAATTGGGCATTAAAAACCATTTAAACTTGGTTGGAAAAATGAAAAATTGAAATAAAATAAAAGCAATAGTTTGTTTTAAAATCGAAATTAAAAAAACCATATTTTTTCTGAAAAAAAACTGAAATGACGTGAGATTTGTGAGGAGTTATTTTGGAGAGTGATGGGGCATTTTGGGTAATTTGAGTTTAATGGATTTATGTCAAATATTAATTAATAAAATGAATTTATCATAAAGTCGAAATTCAACGAGGGGTTTTGTCAAATATCCCCAATATATATACTGTTTTCTGGCAGTTTATTGACAATAGCAGTAGTTTTTATTTTGTTTTAGTAAGATGGTTGTCCAGAAAATTGCATTTCTGATCCCATAAGATTGAATCAGTGTCAGCACCAAAAAAAAAAAAAAAAAGAAGATTGAATCAGTGTCGTTTTCAGTCCTACAATTTCAAAAAATAGTCTCATAGGTTGATTTTACTGTATTTCTAGCCCAATGTTTTAGTCTATTTGATTTTCTTGTTCCATCTTTTTATAATTATATATATGATTTATAAAAGGCTGCGGCTATATGCAATACTCATTCCACTTGTGCAAGACCAAATTAAAGAAAGATTCCAAAAGATTCTATTTTATTAAGATGGAATGACAAGTATGCCCATAAATTAAATTGGCTTTTTTTTTCTCATGTAAGACCAAATACAAATAATGAGAAAAAAACAAAAATCGACACCAAGGTGTCGAAAAACTATGCTACAAATCGACACTTAAGCGTCGAATTTCATAGGTAAAAATCGACATTGACATGTCGAATTTGTAGCACAAATTCAAATGTCGAATTTTATACCTCAAAATCGACATCTAAATGTCGAATTTTATACCTCAAAATCGACATCTAAATGTCGATTTTTACCTGTAAAATTCGACCTGTACATGTCGAATTCGTTTGCGCGGGATTTTTTTTGGAAAATCGATATTCTAGCTAAAAAAACCCATAAATGCATACATTCTTGGGTTCTTCCATCGTATAATCTTCTATTTTGATGTCTTCTGACTCCATACTTGCCATCTTTGTAAGATTTGTTGAGTTTTGATGATTTTGAATTTCTAGGTTTTGTGGGTTAATGGAGGAGGAATGAGAAAGGTCTTGTGAATTTTGGAAGATGGAGAAGATGATAGTTGGTCTTGGGTTTTGTGGTCTTGTGATAGGGTTTTTTGTGTTTTTGAATTTTTGGTCTTGCATATTTGGAATTTTTTATTTTTTTCATAAATAAGGGTATTATAGTATTTATACATTGAAAATTTTAATTTGGTCTTGCACAAGTGGAATTAGTCTTGCATATAGCCGCAGCCTTTATAAAATTTACTATATTTATATTTTTTTGAATAAATTTATGTAACCTTCTACAATCATTCATAAATTTCCTATGATCGTTTATATATGTCTTCGATTTCCCGATTTCCAATGAATTTACCATTTACCGAGACTCGATCTGCATATTATTGCAAGTAGAGAGAAGAAAGAATGTATCGAACCTCATTCATCTAACGAAAGAATTCTTCGTTCGGCAGCAGCAGAAAAAATAATCAAATCAACCCAAGATTATCGAAACCGAAAGATGAGAAGATTACACAAAGCATATACGGTTTTCATAAACAGTTTTACCTGTCGAAAAAGAAAAAAACACGCATTACCATAAACGGCGATTTTTCAATAATAAATCGGGGTATAAAAAAAAAACGCAAAATGCACAAAAATAGCATTGGCATAAATGTACACATATAGACGAACAGCAGACGCTAAAAATTTTACGATGATTTGTCGAATTCGTACACACCCGTACTATGATTGTACTGGAAAAAAAAATAGAGCTATTTCAAGAAATTTTCAAAATCCCGAGTAAACATTCGTGTACGTCTTTGTCAAATACGCAAAATTCGAAACCGGCGACAAAGAATTCACTCTTTCCCCTCTCGTTAAAAGCTCCCCCAAATCGAGCCTCTTCAAAGTCAATACTTCCCTTGACTCCTCCCATAAAAAAACGAGCAATCCATTTTCAAGAACGAAAAGCGACCCGCTTTCCCAATTAGGTAATCTCATACCATAGCCGTTCGCAATGCCTTCTCCACTAAACGACTCCTTAACTTCAATAGGATCAGATCCTTCGTGAAACGGGAATATTCCCTCCGATGATTGATCTGCGTTCACGATGAACATAGCCGATCCATTAGGGTAGCAAACGTACGAGTTACCTTCTAATATCTTGGTACCAATCATTAGTTGTTTCGATTCTTCATAAGAGATCAAGATCAAGAAGAGGGCGCCACCTGGCTTTTCGGCAGACGGCGGCCAACCAAAAGTCCCTCCCCATAAACCACCGTACTCGCGCGTTGACTTCTCGATAGTCAACTTGTAGAGAGACGATTGACTTTTGTCCATACGAGGCCACGCTAGATAACGATCTAATTCCATATTCACACCTCGTAAACTCAATCCACCACGCTTATCATACATTCGTAAAAGCGACAACCTCCTCTCGTGCAGGACTTCGAAATCGCTACTCGAGCGAGGAAAAAATACCACATTTGATGCTTCCGGAAGAATATTCCCGATTTCTCTAGTAACAACATCGAGCAGCCTCGCCCTATCGTCGGATTCCAAACGGCTGAAGGGCATTTCGGTCATTTCACACGACGCCTCGAGCGAAAGAACGTTACACTTCCTCTCGACCGATTTTAACAATCCGGGGTAAATGCAGTCGTCTCCTCGCTCCCTCCCGTGCAAGAAAAACGAAGTGGACCCCACGTGGTCGCAGAGGATCTCGAAGACAGGCGTCCACAAAATCGGACCGTCCGCCACTTGCGGGATTATCCGACATCCGACGACCGATAAAAAACCGGGCATAACATAGACTACATTGCCTAGCTCGGGGTTCTGGTGGACCCAAATACCGATCAACGGACGAATATTCACCAAGAATTTACAGAGGGATTTGTAAGAACAAACTCCGTTTCTCCACTCGACGAGAGCGGTGAACGGGATTAGGCCTAGTTTATTACATTGGACAATCCATACTTTGTCCGACGATAGAACAGAGTTGAGAAGTGGACAACCTAGGCCAAGACGACATACATCTTTCGGAGAGAGGAAGTTTGTTATTACGGAAAATATATCGTCCGGCAACGACAAAAGCGAGCGTGGTTCGTAGAGATTACGCGACATGTTCGATCGATCGCTCTTTTGCACCGTACTAATCGAAAACTTGAATACTACATCAAATTAATGAATGCATTCAGCAAACAAACTTGATGAGAAACTTGAATGGGAGAAAGAGTTATTAGAAGAAGAGAGAGAGAGAGGAGAGAGAAAGTCAATCATTATGGATTGATTGTGACACAAAGCAAGAAGAGAGAGAGAGGAGAGAAGAAAGGTCTCTTTGAATCTTGAAATGGCACAGTAGTAATTAAATTCATCAATGAATATTAATAAATGCACAATTGTTTTTAACCACTTTCAACACCATCACAATTTTTTTTTTTTTTTTTTTTTTTTTTTTTATATAATGGTGAAAGTGATGGTTAGTTGAAAGTTGTTTATGATTTCATGGAATCTACTTCATGCAGGGGATTTATATATTGAATTTTATAGACCACAAATAGTGCTATCCAAACAATCTAATCCACAAGCTTATTTTGACATTTTTGGAATATTGCTTTACACGATTTTGACATAATTGTTCATAAAAATCTATGTAACACGAAAACTTCAACTTCTTAATGTATCCGTGTTCAGAATAAGACACTCGAGGACACTTGCCAACCACTTTATGGGCCATTTTGTAATTTAAACAAAATTAGAAACATGTTCGAACAGCGAAATTCCAAGTATTTTTGTTACTACCCAAATTATTTATATGGTTTAATAATCAATTGCAATTTGGTAGATGATAATAATATTTATTTGAATAAATTTGTACAAAAATATATAAAATATATTTGTATATACATGAAATCTTGTACAAGTTTATATAGTATATTTATATATACACACCTATACTTTTAATATTTACACATTTTCCCTAAATTCCCGTATTCTAATTTTTTGGATATGTCGTTTTCCCGTATATATCGTTTTCATGTTTGTGCTACGTAGCAGATAAATGATTTCACTATCAGATGAAGCTGGTAAAGAAAATTAAATGACAATAATTTCAGCTGTGGTAGGCTGGACATCTATAAAACATAAAATCAATAAGACAAAATATGAACTGTATGATAGTCACGTGTTAATTATTTAATGTTGGCATTTTTTAAATACTTGGGACAAAGAGATCTGTGCATTTACAGAATAAAATAGTGTGGAAGATAGAATATATAATAAGGTAAATTACAACCATCCATGAGTTATGGTCAAAATTACGAAAAATCCCTCTTATGTTGATAATTACAATCACTCCCTCAACTTTTTAAATTTAGTGGAATCTTCGAGATTATATGGAATATTATCACTTTTGTACCCGTTTTATCTCATTCGAACTCTACATTTTGAAGCAAGATGATCATAATATGTGTTTTTTGGCTTGTATATATCAGATTGTGGTGCATAAAAAAATGTATTTTTATACGAAACGAGTACAAACTAGAGCACATTCCACAAAATCTAGACGATTATGTTGAATTTGACACCATAAGGGTGGAGGTGTAAGAAAAAATCATAGTTGATGGGGTAGATATAATTATCCAAACAAGAGGGATTTTTTTGTAAATCGACCATACTTCAAGGGTGTTTGTACTTTACCCAATATATTATTAATAATAATAATCTCTGTTTCTTTATAATTGAATCTGATTCTCATCATTATTGCATTTTATTTCTCGATTTTGAGGATGGTATATAGTTTATATTAAATTTGACTAAAAGAATTAAATAATTGATCGACATATACATATGATTATATTCTTTTTCCGCCATTAAAGAGAGGGCAGCACTTGCGCGCATTCCCAAGCACGCACGTCTTCTCAAGGCCACCTTGGACCGCGCGTAACTTTTACTACTCTCCACCAAATTGTGCCCGAATTTTTTTTTACGCTCATTAACATATAGCGCGCGAATTTCAACCCACTCCACCAAATCAGGCGCGCTCTCCAACATGCCTCACCAAATCGCGCGCGCTCTCCAATAGATAAATTAAAATTATATTTCTCCACGCCACGACAACAATGAACGGAACACGACAACACCTACTACTCTCGACACGATTCAGTATACTTTTCTACTTGTCTCCCACATCGAATCGAGAGTGGGGGGCTTGCGAGACAACTCCTACTCCTACGAGGAGACAACTCGCTTGAAACTACGAACCCGCAGCGAGACAACTCCCACGAGGAGACAACTCGCTCGGTCCTACGAACCCGTTGTGAGGCAACTCCCACGAGGAGCCAACTCCCTCGATACTACGAACCTGCAGCAGGACAACTTCCATGAGGAGACAACTCGCTCGGTCCTACGAACCCGTTGCGAGGCAACTCCCACGATAAGCCACCTCGCTCGGTAATAAGACTCGATGTGAGACAACTCCCACGAGGAGACAACTCGCTCGGAACTACAACCCATAGCGAGACAACTCCCACGAGGAGATAACTTGCTCGGTCATATAACCCATTGCGAGACAACTCCCACGAGGAGCCAACTCCCTCGGGTTTACAAAACCACAACGAGATAACTCCCATGAGGAGACCACCCGCTCCGTCCTACAATCCGTTGCGAGGCAACTCTCAAGAGGAGCCAACTCGCTCGGTGCTACAACCCGCAGCGAGACAACTCCCACGAGGAGACAACTCGCTCGGTACTACGAACCCGCAGCGAGACAACTCCCACGAGAAGCCAACTCGCTCGGTACCACAACCCGCAGCGGGACAACTTCCACGAGGAGCCAACTCGCTCGACACTACAAATATGTTGCAAGGCAACTCCCACGTGCAACCACCTCGCTCGATAATAAAACTCGCTGCGAGACAAATTGCACGAGGAGACAACTCGCTTAGAGCGACCTCAATCCGCACGCTCCTCAGTCGCGCGTCATCCAATGCTCCTACAACTCCGCTGCAAGACAACTCTCTCGAGGGGACAACTCACTCGCAATTCAATACACAATCGCAAGCTCAAGTTAGCATGATTACAACCCTAGAAACACTTAGAGATATTATGGGAATCTATATAGCCTGGCCAACTCGATTACTCAAATTTCTCTACTTGTCTTCGACGGGTCCTTCATTAAAACGTGGCCACGGTCAAAACATACTTATGACCCGCGAGGTCTAATAAGGGGCACGATCCCCGTAAAAAAAAAAAAAAAATTCTTGAGAGTCTGATCCACTCATCAAGTACATCACGTACAAGGCTATATGTAAACACATACAAGCAACGCGTCAAACCATTGACAACGTCAATAAATAACAACTCCCACGAGGAGATAACTCGATCCGCGCTACCACATTGTCGCGGGACAAAACCGACGACTCAAGTAAATTACATCGCGACAACTTGGTCGCGCTACGCGCCAACGCGCCTACACGCCCCTCCGACACACGCTCCAACGCGTTTTCGCACACCATCAGGCCATACGCCAACAAACGACTACTACAATTTTTACTCTCGACACGATATGTCATCCATTTCAACATGGCCCCTACATCGACTCGAGAGTGGGGGGCTTAATGATATGCCTAATTGGGCCAACCCAATAGGCTTACAATTTATTTATCTACGGGGCTACGAGCCCAATATTGAAGACCACAATCACCGAGGCCCAATCACCTTCAAATAAGGTTTGGGCCTAACAATCTCATCTAAAGCTCTCATCTAAGCTATAAATAAAGGTCTGAACTCATTCCTCAAGGTACGTCCTATTAACTGAGTAATACTATCAACTGTATTCTTTGGACTATTTCCACTATCCGCACGTCTGACTTGAGCGTCAGAGGGGTTTCCGCCCGGATCAACCCCCAGCCTAGTTCACGTGTTATATGATCGCAGGTATCTCAAGGTCATCAAGCTCGTGAGCCAATGATCAACTCTGCTCTTCCAGCTCATCCTACCTCAACTCACTAAGGTGATCTAACTCTAGCATCATCAGATGGAAAACTCGTTTATGATGGTGCAAGTAGGAAGAAAGATTAAGAATGTTATCTCTACAAACAACCTTATAAAAAAAAAAGTCAACGCCGGAGACCTGGCAGTCAACGGCAGTTGACCGGCCAGAAAAAAATTTCAGGAAAAAAAAAGTTTTTCGAAAAAAAAAAAAAAGTCAACGCCGGAGACCGGCGGTCTCCAGCAGTCAACGTCGGCGACCAGCGGTCTCCGGTGGTGGTGGGTCAAAATTGAAATTAGGGTTAAAATTGGTTAATTGATGAAATTGAGCTAAATTTGGGTGCAAATCATGAAATTGGAGTTGAAATGAGTTTCAATGAATTGGGGGTAATTTTGGTATATATAAATGGATTTTCCTTATTTGCAAATAAGTTTGAATGGGCTGGATGTATTTGAAAGACAAAAAAGTTGGATGTTCCTCTTTTAATTAAGTGCCCTTGTCATGGGTCTATTTACCATTTACCCAAAAAAAAAAAGAAAAAAAAATTGTTCGAGAGGATATTTATTTTCAAGATTTAATGGGTCAATACGTTTTCATGCAAATTACTAAAAAATCCTAATTAAAATCAGGGCAATTTGCTATAGTTATTCTAACTATTAATTCCCTATTTGAATTACTTTTATTATTTTTACTTGTCTAAAATACTCAAAATAAAATATGGAAAATAAAAATCCTCAAATAAAACTTTATACAAGTTTTAATTCAACGGTTTCTTCCAAACAAAAAAAACAAAAATCGTTGCGAATCTTCAAATCCTAGCTACGATTTTACCTTTCATTTATTGTTCTCCTAAACGAAAAAATAGAAAACAACAAAAATTGATGTCCGTTTGCTGTTTTGTCGCATTTTACTTGAAAAAGAAGACCTAGATTTGTTTGTTTGTTTGTTGTTCGTCATCGCCTCTTAACGCCAAATCGGAGAACCTCAAATGCAAACAATATGGTGCAGAAACGTAAAATTTCGAGTGTTGAATCTTTGTTTGCACTTGTTTCGTCCCTGCCCTGCCATAGATAGGATCATTCGTAGTTTGTAGTTTTGAATCTCTGTCCGCAACTCCTTTGTCTCTGCCCTGCCATAGTTAAGAATTGTTCACAGTTTTGGATTTTGGTTTGAAATTGTTTTGTTCTTGTCCTGCCATAGCTAATTAGAATCGTTCACAATTTGCAGTTTTAAAATTTACGTTTGCAATTGCTTCGTCCCTACCATGCCATAGCTAAGAATCGATTGCAGGAATCGTTCGTAGTTTGTAGTTTTGAATCTCTGTCCGCAACTCCTTCGTCTCTGCCCTGCCATAGTTAAGAATTGTTCACAGTTTTGAATTTTGGTTTGAAATTGTTTTGTTCTTGTCCTGCCATAGCTAATTAGAATCGT